TGGTTACTCCGCTGTCTTGCAAGTTTATACGATCCCTTAGAACTGTGTACACCATTCACGATAATTGGAAAGATACTCCTTCAAGATACTTGGATTCTTGGAATCGATTGGGATGAAATTTTGCCGACAAACTTGGCTACTGTGTGGCATACAGTTACAACCCAGTTCGATGCCATTTTCTCAAAAGAAATTCCTCGTTACATAGGAGTTTCATCGCTTGATTCCCTTAATATTCATATTTTCTGTGATGCATCTGAGCGAGCATATGGTGTAGTTTTGTACATAGCTACCTCTCATAATAATCAATCAAGTATCCATTTAGTATGCAACTGCAATAGACTTGCACCTATAAAGAAAGTTAGTCTTCCACGATTAGAGCTTTTAGCAGCTGTGATTGGTACCAAACTGCTGGAATATTTTTACAATGAAACTGGATTGTCACCATCTACAGCCACATTATGGAGCGACTCTGAAGTAACCCTTGGTTGGATTCGGGGTAATCCCAACAGGTGTAAAACCTTTGTGTGCAACAGGGTAACAGAAATCATTTCATACACTGACCCTTCAGAGTGGCGGCATTGCTCGGGACAAGACAATCCAGCGAACAAACTATCAAGAGGCGTTCCTCCATCTACACTGAAAGACCTCAACATCTGGTGGAACGGGCCCACTTGGCAGACTGAACCCACAGAAAGCTAGCCAGATTCGAAAACAGATTACTCTCATAATTTGGAGGTAAAGAAAAATAAAGAAATTCAAACATTTCATGTTACTGCTTTTCAACCCATCATCGACGCAAAAGACTGCAGCTCCTACTTCAGACTGCTACGTGTTACTGTATGAATTCTACGTTTTAATTCGAACTGTAGATCTCAAGTCAAGAAAGTCGGAGAACTAGACACTGCAGAAATATATGATGCTAGAAATTACTGGATACAAATAGTTCAGAAAGAGTCATTTCCGTTAGAATACGAAGCTTTATCAACATCCAAGTCACTACCAAAAAATTAAAAGATTACAAAATTCAACCCATTATTTAAAAATAAATTAATACGTATTGGTGGCAGATTACAGTTTACGAGTTTATCAGAGTCCCAAAAACATCCAATTTTGTTGGACGGATCTCATCATTTCACAAGTCTGATGCAGTGTTGCTAGAACTTAAGATTAAAAAGTAGCGAATGTGAGCTTCAAAAGTAGCGGATTCGAACATTTTGTAGCCCAAGAAAACTACGTTATATATATATATATATATTCTACTANTAGTTATGTTTATTTTGGTTACCTCCTGTTTTATTTATTTCAATTAAGATTTGAATTTATGTTTGGATATATATATATATATTCATTCTACTAAATTAAAAAAATAAGTTAAATTTCAATGCTGTAGTTGTAGTTCATTTATGATTGGCGACGGCTGGGAAACATCCGATGATCCAAAGACATGCCATCACAATTTTGATCCCCTGCAAAGGTCATGGCACCCACCGCTTCAGTAGCCCGACGACCTGCACGCGAAGTCGAGCACTTTACGGTAGAACAGTTTAACGAGGACCCATACCACACGACCTCGGTCCCTAAGCAGACTGATCCACGAGGTCACCCACCCGCACACTGACCGCAGCCAGTGATGTTTTATTTATTTTTTTACAACCGTCGTTGAACAGCCGACCCAATTTTTTGGGTTTACGGCTACTAATGTTCAACTCCGTAGCCTTGTACTTTTGATTCCAATCCAGAAGACAAGGGAACTCCTGGATCAAGTATTGGGAGAAATTTTGCCATCGTGGAGGACTTTTTGATGGAACTAACCTGCATTTGCGTTACATGGAGAGGAAGACCACGAGAACTCTCACGGTTAGCCTCACGGCAAGGGGACTCAAACCCATGATCCGTCTACCACTGAGGATATTTCCCGTCAGCTCTGTGATCGGTGCAAGCAGGATGCGGAATTCGTATCGACCAGCCATCGCCGGGATCGAACCCCGGTTCACCTCAGTGGAAGGCGAACACTCTCTCCCCTGAGCCATCGCGGCTCAACCAGTGATGTTTGACTTCAATGATCTGCTGGGAACCGTGTCTTAACGATCAGTCCACTGAGGGACTTAAATTTCGATGAGCTGCGTTCATAATTTCGCCAAATTCAACATTTCGTTTTAGCTCAGATTACAGGTCACGCGATTTTTCCAGATAATAAGCGATTAATAATGGTTGGAGTTAAAGCTTTTTCCCCCCATCATGCTAGCCGTGCATTTTTCCATATATATCTTTGCGTTTTCACGAGTCTATGATTTGAAGCATAGATATGGAGATATTCTGGACTCCGCGCGGCAAAACAAAACAAGAATCCAAAACTAAAGCTGATGCGTTTTCAGAAATAAAAGAAAATATTTTTAAAAAAGATAAAGAAACTGCAGACTTTACAGAATCTCTCATTTTATAATAGGAAAGAAAAAATTTTTTTTTATAAAAGTATTTCTGTGAGATAAGTAGCACATTCTAGTAGCAGCATGAAATTCTCTAAGTTGCGCATTTTTAAGATTAATAGCTTTTGAAAAATGATGAGTAGCCCAAAAAGTAGCGGATAGCCCAAATTCGATTTTGTGTAGCGGGGAGTTTTAAAAGTACCCCAATCCGCTACTTGTAGCCCAATCTGGCAACACTGGTCTGATGATACGTCAAATACATATCAAAATGCATCACCTAGGTGTCAGAATAATGCTTTCAGAACTACGCTCAAACTTTTGGATTCTACGAGGCCGCCAAGCTATCAAACAAGTGATTTACAAATGCCTACCATGCAAGATGTTATGAGCAATTCGCTGCACTCAAATTGAAGCTCCTCTACCAGCTGATAGAATAAATCCAGTTACACCATTTTTCACCACAGGAATAGATTTTGCTGGCCCCGTACATGTTCGCACTTTGAATCCTTCAGACACAGCTTACTTTGTACTGTTTACCTGTGCAACGACCAGAGCCATACATCTCGAACTTGTGTCAGATCTTTCGACAGACAAGTTTCTGTTAGCATTGCAGCGATTTGTGAGTCGTAGAGGACTACCACATACCATCTATAGTGATAATGCTGTTACATTCCACGCTGCAAATAAGGAGCTAATACTTCTATGGAACACTCTTACATCTACTAAAGTGCAACAGTTTTACGCTCATAATGGCATAATTTGGAAGGTCATCGTACCCAGAGCGGCTTGGTGGGGAGGTTGGTGGGAGCGCCTAATCGGATTAGTGAAAAACTGTCTTCGTAAATCTCTTAGTCGGGCACTATTGGATAAAGAAAATTTATCAACTGTACTAGTAGGGATAGAAGCCGCCCTTAACAGCAGACCCATTGTATGTGAAGAGGGAGATGAAGACAATACGGAAGCCTTGACACCGGCAAATTTCCTAATGGGTAGAAAATTAACATCCATAGCCACAAATCTGAATAACAATCCAAGAATTACGAAACTCTTCAAACAACAACAAGACGTGTTGAATATATTTTGGAAAAGATGGTCCAAAGAATATCTGCTGCAACTTCGCTCTTATCACCAAGTTCGCAATATTCATAAATCCTTCAACATCCGTGCAGGATATCTTGTGATACTACAAGAAGACGTCAGACCCAGACACATGTGGAAGAAAGCACGAATTACCAATCTAATTAAGGGACGTGATGGGGAAATTCGAACATGCGTGTTAAGAGTGAATGGAAAGACTATAACTCGACCTATACAGCTGGTCATCCCTCTTGAGGTTGACCAGGGTGGGGAGGATGTTCCGTCATCAATAAACAGTTAGTTTTAATAATTGTTTTAAATCGTCTGCCGATATAATAACTGCAACTCCAGCTGGTTGCTAGGCAACCAAACGACTTTTTCTTATTATTAATGTTTTGTTTATCGTTCGTCTCTGTATGTCTGTGGAAATAAAAGAATGTAAAAGCTAACANAATTTTTTTCCTTGCTGTTCTGAAAAAGAGAATTATATTTGTTTTTGCTGATTACTACTTACAAAGGTATAGTAATTGAACATAATTACCTTATGCCACCCATCCAATTGTAGGAATGTATCGAAAATAGCTCCTCTTTCCAAAGTGAATTGTCCTCCATAAAGCATTGGAGTCGAAGCACGTTCATATTTCGCCTTGCGAACAGATTTTTTCCAGGCAATCGTATCAATAGATTTTGAATCTAATGGAATAGGTATCATTGTCCAGTCCAGAAGTGCTAGCGAACCTAATGTAACATTTTGGAAAATACCCTGTAAAAAATAATGCTATTGTTTACAAAAATGAGGTCTTAAAATCCATCTTTTCTGTTCTGTTTTGTGTGTGTGGGTTTAATCTTAAGTCTATTTCTTAACCTCTTGCACTATTTCTAATTTTTTTAAAAAGATTTTTTGATTTAAGGTTTTATAATTTCTTTCCTTACGTATAAAATATAAATACAATAATACTTTAAAATAAATAGAAATCATTATTTACTAAAATCTGGTCATCCTAGATTGATTGATTTACTCTTATAAATTACATAGAAAAGAACACACATTTAATAATTAATGTTAAAATACAATTTTTTTGGTACAATTAGTTTTAGTTTTGCACATTTGTGTAGAATGTATTAAGCAACCTTAAATTGCTAAAATGAAATACTAAGCATTGGATTTTAGTTTTATTTATTTATTTATTTTTAAAAAAATTTGTAGCAGAATTGCTCTTCTGTTCCTGTGACTTGTTTATGTTAAGCTTGTCATCGCTCTAGAAATTGCCCTTTAGTATATTTGATTTAACGATTCTATAAAAGTGCTGTGATTTTCTTCAGAAACAGTGACTGCTTCAGCTACATGCTAGTTCGGTAAAATAAATAGTAATTAGTTATACTTTAATCTGTTTTAAAAGTATTGTGATACTATTTATAGAAAAACTTATAAAGTATTAATTGAGGGTTGATAAATTTCAAATAATAAATACAGAAACTAAGTAAATAATAATTTACCTTTTGGTCATGGATACCAGAACCAGCACAAACTCTGCCTTGATTTTCAACTAAAATATCAATTGTTTGTCCTTTGAAAGCTCTGACTGGAATACTGAAAACTTTCTGTTCTCGACTCAAAATACCTTGTAAGACCTACCAACACATATTTAATGTATTATCTTCTATAACATTAAAATAAATCAAACTGTTTTTATTAAAAGTAAATTAATATCTCAAAAATATTTTGAAATTGCCTGCAATAAAAATTTTATTTAGATCTTTTCAAATCTTAAAAACTATCTCAAGACAAACTTTAAATTGATATCACTATCCTTTAGGATGTACTTAACAAGCATACGTGTCTCGTAATTAAATAATTTAGTACACATACAGTTAAGGGTGCTTTGATAAAATCGCTATATAAGACACCAGTATGCTTAATGATGTAGCAAAAGATATTGCTGGTATTTTGCTTATATATAGGAGGTGTGGTAATAGGTTTATTATCGCCTTTCATTACCTATAGGTTTATTACCGCATAAGTACTAATAGTTTTCATTTAGATTATTGAACCAAATACATAAACAAAATATTAAACAACACAAAATCAATAAAATTAATTTGGTTCCTTTCTGTTTTTATGGGCATCATAGTATTTAATATTGGGGATATTCCAGTATAGGATCTTGATGGTGCCAACTGCCATCGCCAAGATTCCGCTGTCAACTTCTTGTTCATGTAATAAATTAAAAGAATATATATAGTGTCTTTCACGTAATGGATATAAATTTTATTATCTCAGTGATATTGTTCTATTCTCTTGCATACCACAACCCCGTACTCACCAAAATTTGGCACCTACATTTCAGCACAGGATTCCACACAGATTTTTGTCAAGTATGTATTGAAATAATGAACAGTGCCATAAAAATATTAATCAAATAAAAATTAACATAAAAAAATCCAAAAGCTTTGATGACATACTCTTGTCTAGCTATTTTTTTAAATTTTAAATTCCAAGTATTGAATTTTTCAGACACTTACTTTATCTACATAGACATGACCTCTATCAGCAATGTTATTTACCGTAAGAATAGATGGATCAGCTGTATTGAATGTTACAGTCGTTCGATACACCACAAATCCATAGGGCTAAAAATTTAGGAAAATAACCAATATTTAACAACAACAATATATATATATATATATAATAATTTTATCATAAATATTATATATTTTAATAATAAATATTATATACAGTCAAACCTCGCTGACTTTCACTTTGATTTCGTGAATTTTTCGATAGCTTAAAAAATGGCCTTTCAAATTCCCAATACACAATACTGTGAAAATAATATCCAAAAGATAATATTTGGGGGGCCAGAAAGTAATTCAGTTTTGGCGCAATAAATATTCGTAAGCCTTAAAAAACCAATTAATTCTTTTCGATCCATTTTGATTAATTTTCGATCCGGCATTGAAAGGTTGTTGCTAACGACGGTGAATACATTCATTAAAAACAAAATTTTGATAACAAATATCAAATGCACCAAAACAACATTACTTTCCGGTCCCCTAAAGGATAGAAGATGGTCTGGAAGACTTCACTCTTAACTTAGAAAAAGACACTAGTGTTTTCTGCTATATTTCATAATTATAAATAACTAAAATTCTAAATATAACATTTTCCACTTATTTTGATGTAAATTAATACAAAATAAAGAAAAAAGTATGAAAAATGCATTTAATAAAAATTCTGTGTGAAAGAATTAAACCGGTTACTCTACCCTATAATTAAGCTCCAAAAAAAGAGGAAAATGTATTGATTTCATAATCAGAATAAATGAAAATCACATATCTACATAAAAAAGACAATATTATAAAGAAACATTTTATTTGCAGAAATTCGGCCTCAATCACAGAAATTAGACTTTTTTTTTACAAATTTTGCTATTTAAAACTAAATAACATGTTATTATGAACGAAGTCTTAAAATAAAGTAGTAATAGTTAGTAAAACAAAGGTATTATTGTATTGCGAATAAAAAAAAGGCTTATTTCATAAAAGTTTTCATGAAATAAAATTTTATATTTTTATAATATAAATAAAAAAATTTCATAGACAAATATTTTTTTCATTTTTTTTTTTCAGTTAACACTTTTTAAAATTTATCACTGAAAAAGATTTCTAAATTTTAAAATAAATTGATTTTTTAATTAAATAAAAATAGGTTTGGGTGTTTACAAGTGTTCTTGGATGTCAAAATATAGCTACATAAGTTTTTAAATAATATAAAACAACAATATTTAAGTATTAAAAAGTGTATCAACACTTACATGATAAAGCTGTTCAAATGAAAGAGGAGTGGGGGAAAATACCGATTCAGTATTCATAGAGATGTAATCCCACAATGATATTGACTGCAAAATTAGAAAAAAAAAGTTTACTTTATCAACTGAGTATTTAAAATGCATGCAAAAAATTTGTTATCCCAGTTCAAAATTGATAATTGTAACATAATTAAAGTGAAAAAAAACTCTCAGAAAGATTACATACTTTTGTCAATTTAATAGGCCCACTTTTCATTTTAGGAGCTGGTTTAGGAAGTGGACCAGGTGGAAGTGGCAAAAACTGTAAACGAAATATGCTTTTAATTAGAATAAGAACAAATAAAACAGAATATTTATTAGCAGTTAAATCATGTGTTATGAACTATTACATTTAGTGAATGAAAAAAGGGGTATTAAAAATGTAGGTACTATTTTACTCCTAGTGGCGAGAAGAAAATATTGCCAATTTATTATGGACATCAGAGATGCTTAATTGTTGTAACAGGTATTACTGGTATGATACATTCTGTAGTAATATATACAAAATATACCCCGCCGGCCGAAGTTTGTGACTGATGCACATTAAAATTCTGTCGAGTCACAAAGTCCTCCATGTTCCCATAACAAATCAATACCTCTGAAGGTACTGGATTGGAGACCACTGATCATTCTCTGATTCAGGTAAAAAATTACGATCTGTGGATGGATGTAAGAATGGGTATGTCTTATAAATAGGTGAGACGTATGATGTGGCAGAAGTCGAATTCTTGGCCATAGATGACGCCACTGAAGAACAAGAATCGCACACTCTGCCTTAAGCTTGCTCGGTTTCACCAAGCAGGCTTGCCCATGTGGCAAGTGGCATTAGAACCAACCAACCAACCACAAAAAATATTGATATAAGTACTGTGGTTATAAATTTCTGATGCTCCCCATTAATAAAAAAAATAAACTTAAAATACATAGTACTAAAATCTACAAAGGCTGAAGTCATAGATTGATGCAAATATGAACGGTTAGTTACAAGAAATATTGTAGGTTCAGGAGATAAATGCTTATTTTCTATTCATACTTTTTTTCTCTTTAGTCCTCTATAATTAGACTGCATTTAAATAAATATATAATATTTTATTTGGTATTATTCAATAAACATAACGCAAAATTGATTTGTAACTAATACTATCATATTTATTTACTGTTAAAACTACATAATTAGCTTCATGGAAAGCTTTTAACTTCATATTTTGCCTTCATAAATTTTTATAATAGTTATATTTGTTTGCACTAAAAACTGTTGAATAAATCTATTTTGTTGTAAAAAATTGTTCTTAATATACTGCAATATTAAAAAGAAAATTAACTAGCTAATCATTAGATACTGCATTTTGAAAAACAATAAAGCTGATATACAAGTACTGATATAAGGAAACTGTCGATGCTCAATATAACGATGTCGATGCTCTTATAAGTCCAAACTAATATTAACATAATGAAATAAGGTCACTATATCGTGAAAATCCAAATTTTTGCTTATAATTCATAAATATTACACTTGTTCATAGAAAAACATGAATTAGGAAATTGATAGAATAATTGACATTAATACAGTTTTTTTACGTCAATAAAGTGCAAGAATTAATATAATACATTAAAAGTTAAACACACATTTAATTTTTTTCAAATGACATTCTTTAATATTCTGCATTATTTTTAGAAAGTTATTCAGTCAGCACTTTTTCTAGATTTTGAAATTTTCCCTCACCTTGTTCTCCTGCTTTCAGAATTGCATCATGATTTTTAATTATTGTAAACAGCTTTCTAGGATTTTAAATATTTTAAGTAATCTGTGGTTTTTATGTAAATAATTCTTCTATCTACTTCCTACAAAATTTTTATTTTCTATTCAAAACATATAGCGTTAATCTGTTTACGAGCAAACCTTTTTGGTAAAAACCATCATATGTCCCACAGAGAACTGTTAGTCTAAGCAAAAATAATACACCCAGGAATCCCTAAGTTAAGAATAGGTGGTCCTATCTCTTTTTCTTCATTCATAAAAAATCTAAAATATTTCACGTTTATTGAGTGTGTAACGACTAAAGAAAAAATGATTTGAATAATTGCCTCCAGAAATTTGTTACCCATTGACTTACTGTCGATGGAAAAATTTTATTTTTCAAAGGGAGAAAATGTGTAACACCTGTTTATGGAGTAATTTTTCAAGAATTTTTGTGTATAGGTCGTTATAATGGAAAAGTTGCTGTAATGGAGTCGTACTAAAGTGCGTTGACTGTATAAAATAGTCCAAAATTATAATGTAGTAGTACATAAAAACTTTGTAAATAAATATATTAATATAAATTTGTATTTACTTTCAACTTAAATTATTACTACTTGCAAAAGCACAAAATTATGTATAAGTAGAGAAACAAAAAAAAAGTTTGCTGTCTTTAACTCCCATTGTTATAACTAAGACAGTGTGGAGGAATTTTTGCATCTTAAATTGTAACTGATTCAAATACTTTAAATTGAGAATAAATTTTTGTTCTAGAAAAAAAAAATTTAAGCAATTGTATATTATTTTCTTCACTAAAATGGACAAGCCTTGATTATATAATATAATTAAAAACCACAATACTTTGAAAATATGTTTAATTAATTGTGGAGTTTGCGCTGATTCAGAGAAGATAAATTATTAGAATGCGTAAAATTTAAAATCAGATTTTAACAGTTGGTCCCTCGGGTTTCAGAAATGTTTACAAAACATTATTCAAAATAGTGTCACCCCTTTTTTTCAATAGGGCCTAGCAAAAAAGTACTGCAGAGAAAGCACTTACTTTGCCAATTACTTTTCTCATGGCAAAGTATTTTGGAGTTAGATCCCCAGCTTCACTTAATGGAGCATTAAAATCATAACTTGTAGTGCATGCTTGAAAAGTTCTGCCACTATTCGAACCTATCCAGAATATTGATTTTTATACAAATTTCAAAATGGAACAATAAAAAGAAAAATCATATTTAACTACTAGAAAGATTAAACAAATTGTACTTTAATACCAATGAATTTAGAAAATAATTATCAATTGATAGAATTGTAATTGTAGATTTTCATTCTCCCAGTCCTCATTCTTTGAAATGAATAACATTCCCAGAAATCAAAAGATTTAGTTCTTTATTTCAAGTTCATAATTGTTCTCAAACTAATTTCAACCCAACATGATGTAAATAAAATGATAAAGTCACAAATTGAAAAATCTTTCAGTGAACTCTTAATCAACAAAATTTCATAAAAAAGTTTATGATATTTCTAGTTGTTACAGAGATGAATATTTAATGCTACTAAATGATTTAACAGCTCTTAAAAATAGATTTAAAAGATAATAATTGAGAAAATCAGAGTAAGAAAGTCTTTAAAGAGACATGCCCACTGCCACTGTTCTTGGTGTTTCAGGCATTGTTTCCATAATAAGTAAGAACATATTAAAAAATATATTTATTTTTCCTTTACAGGGTGCATAGCCAAATCTTACATAAAAAAATAAACACCTTTTAAGTAATTTTTAAGCACTATATACATTAACAAAATGCAAAATAATTTTCCAAGACTTTACATGATCATGATAAAATAATAGTTTCTGACAAAGAACTCTTTTCTTGATAATATTAGCCATTGAAAAAAGATCAAGAGATTTTTGGGTTCAATTTCAGAGGGTGGAAAATGAAACTTGAAATTAAGCTTTCATACGCCACGGACCATCGGTACACTGAAATATATTGTGGTTGAATGAATTGCGAAAATGTTGAATAGAACAATGTGAAAAGCACGCCTTTGCAGAATATGTGGTAAAAATTGATAAGGTAAAGAAAAAAAACTCCTTTTCAAAATGGGAAAATTAAGTTGGGTGGTAATTCACTGGGTGTTTCTTTAAAACACCCAGTGAAAAAACACCTTTAAGGGCTTTTAAAAAACAAAAATCGAAAATAAGCACCTTTAAGCACTTTTTAAAAACACTACGCATCGTGCTTTAGTATACGCAGCAGAAAATCCGATACATAACTGACATTTGAAAAAACCCTTTTCTGAATTTTAAAATTCGCTACTGCAATTTCACTTTTGGATACATTTTGTTTCTTTGGTGAAAAAGTTAATCATTAATTATATTTGAAGAATAATTTCTTTCATTACAAAATACAAATACACTTGTTACCATAATAAACTGTTGCATTAAATATTGCACTACTTTCAACATTTTTAATTTATTTAGATGACGAAATTTATGTTTATACTAGTTATTTGCAAATAAAAATAAAATGCTTATTCTATGTTTCAATTTTTGATCATTAGTCAATTAAAAATCGATAGAGTTAACTCTACACTACTATGTCACAAAAAATTCCAAATTTATTCCTTACCTGCACTAAAACCAAAAGAAGTTCCTCCATGGAACATATATCTATGAGGAAAAAAACTAATATGTAATTAAAGAAAAAAATATAGCATAAAATAGCAATCTGATTACATGCACTAATAAAAAATAAATTTCAGTTGAAGGCGATTATGTTTTAAAAATGTTTATACTGTCTGTTCTAGTTCAGACAATCTTAGAACTTTATATTGCATTTATTATAACAAATATAGACAAAAAAACTTTTTTTTGATAAATTCATTTCTGCCTGATCCTTGTTTTAACAAAATGTCTTCTAGGAGAAAAAGCATGTAACAAAGAAATTTTTTTCTTCAAATCTTATGTTTATATAGATCAGAATCTTGCTCATGCTGGAAATTTTGTATGCTAGTATATTTATTCCACAAACAAAGAACCCTTGGTACAGAAATAAAGTATGAATTTTTAAATAACTATCTTCAGGTTATTGTTTTTGCGTTTAGGAATTACAATGTACTTCATACCTTTTAAAATGCCAAAAGTTATTAATTTTAAACACCCCAAATTTTCTATGTCACAAGATGTTTAGTTTCTGTCTTCAAATTTGTAACGTCAAGGTTTTATTACAATTCAGTTAAGTGAGCATATCACTTAAGGATTAAGAAAAACAACATATTGAGAATTAAATTACTCAGTTAAAGTCTGTATAAACATTATTTTTTATAAAATAATACAAAATAAAGCAGCAAATAAAAGTAAAAAAAGTAGCAAAATTATAATCTGTTTATCAAGATAGTGACATTGTTCAATTCAAAACTTATGTAAAATATATACCAAACTGTTTAAAAATAATAAGCTTAAGAGAAAACTCACACATTAACAGAGGCATTGGCTTTTAACAAGTGAGTTAAAGTCTTGACAATAGCCTTACTGGTGACGTGAGCATGAGGTTTAGCCCAGTGATCTAAATGACCAGCATAAAATTCAGAATTCACAAATGGTCCTTTTGCTTGATTCCAGCGTAGTGATTGAAATAATCTGCTAACATTTGCACCTGTAAAATGAAGAAAGTCAAAGATGCTGCTTATTTTTCTAATAAATAATAAACACTAATTCATAAGAATTGATGAACTACCATTGCTACAGACTAATATTTTAAACAAATATGAACACCGTAAATATAAAACAATATTTTATATGTGTATGTAAAATGGCAGAGAAAGAGGACAACAGTTTTTGATATTTCTTAATCTATCAAAAGAAGAGCCTGTCTTAAAAAATGAAACTTATTAACAGCTTAAATTGATTAATATAATAAGACATATTCAGAATACATATTGACAAATAGATACTTGTATTTTGTATAGATCTGTCAATTTGTATACATACTTAGATTGTTTCCTCATTAATAGACACATTCAAGGCTTTTTTTGTTTGTTTGCTTGTTTATATTCAGTTTAAATACCTTTAACTTCCAGATACTTTAATTTCGGTTTCTTCCAGACTTCGTTACTACTCATGATTGAACTTTAAGCATTTTTATTTTTGCCTAAATTAATGTAAAAGCTAACTTAAAAGTTATAGTGGAACGTAATAAAATCAAAACCATCTAGACCCTTAAACGAACTTCAAAATATGTATCAAAGACTGTTCAGTTTTTTTTTTCTTGAATAATAAATTCATAAAGCCCCTATAAAAATGCTCTAATTACCAGTTCCAAAATCAATCGTAGCTAGTACTTCATCCGTCCTTCCACAACGTAAGCAGGTTTCACAGCCACCACCATCAGTAGTAAATAAAACGGCTTTGTTTTCCAAATATTGGTTAAAAAAATCTCTTAAATGAGATTTGTACTGAGCATCACAGAGACCAGTACTACCATATTCATTTTCAATCTGAAAACAAGTTATTAAAAAATATGAGACTAAGAATTTCAAGATATTAAAACAAAACAAAAAAGTTACTAAAGACAAATTAATAAAAAATTCTCCAAAAAAATTATTTGTTTTAATTAAAAAATAGTAGAAACTATATTTATTAATTTATAAAAGTTAAATAGAACAAGACCAGAATAATATTTATTCATAACTAAAAATAATATCAAAATAAATATTTTTTAAAAAGTTTTAACAACATTTTACCTGAATTGTTATTATAGGACCTCCATTATTATATAAGAAAGGCTCTATGATAGGAAGTAGAACACTATACCATTTGTCAACATATTTAATGTAGTCTAAAACAATTTGAAAAATAATTAAGGAAAAATAATACCAATGTTAAACATAATTTTTAACAGATTAATAGAAAATAATAAACAAGTAGGGGAAAGTTAGACAAAACGGGATACCATTATTGTTTTTATTTACTACGAAAAATCTGTTAAAGAGAACTACACGTTATTTTTTTTATAGCTACATCACTTATTGAAGCACAGAAAAAGTATATTTTAAACTAATTTTAATGACTGTGAATTAGGAAAAAAAGTCATTTTCCATACTCTTACATATCCCGTTTTAGCATACCTGGATCGGACATAACGGGATAGAGTTTACAATGTTTAATTTTTTGTGTAAAACTAACTAAAAACATAATTAATTAACAGAAAATTGTAAAGCAAAATTTCTACAAATTGTATTTATGGGATTTTTTTGCTTCTAACATTTTTATATAAACTGTTGTTTTATAATTAAGTACACAAAAATTATGATGCTACATAAGTTTTTAAACATTTTTTGAGTTTTCAACCATGAACACTGATTCCATAATTTTCACTGTTGATATGTGTCTGGTGCCCTTAAGAGGGATTTCTTAGCAGTTCTTTCTTCAATTCTCTTGGTTCATTATTGTAGTTTAATCATCCTTTCTTTTTCTTCCATTCATAATTCACTTTTAAATGGAGATGATGTTATTACTACAGTTTTCTTCTTTCTCTTATCAGCCATTTTTTATGGGAGCGGTCCTTTTACTTGAGGTACATGTAGAACTAGAACACACTTCGGAAGGATGGAAAAGGGTAGCTTAGGTCGATAACAAGAGAGCAATAATCTTAAAACTGCACACATCAGTCTGATCACATCAGTCTGGTGTCCAAGTGGTTTGGAGTAATCCTATGTTTACTTAATAGAGAATTTAAAAGTTCGAAAAATTGCTTAACTGCAGTGCGATTAAACCCTTTTTAGTCGGAACATAACCGTGGGTTTTGGATTTCGGAGGCTAAGATCTTCATGCCTGCCAAGAAATGATTACAACCAACGCTTCCCAGCCATTTTTTCCCCTGTGTTAAAATTGTGCTTAATATTGTTTCTCTCAGCTAACTCAAATGCTTGTATTCATATGTCCGTTAGAGTTATACCAAATAATCTCTCTTCTGGAGCCAATACATGCTCACGCGTTTTTTCTTGTTCAGCTTTGAATATTGTCTCTCATCTGTCCAACTTTTTCACTGCTGCCAATCCAGGGGTCAATGCATTTGTACGAGCCTTTTTTTACTTTTCTTTCAGTATAGTAATAATAATATAGTAAAAGTATTAGGCCAACAAATAAATAGGTGGATAAAACGGGATATAAAAAAACTCTATCCCGTTTTATCCATCTCATAAGTATCCCGTTTTGTCAGACTCAGACACTTTTCAAAACAAACATGGCTTCTGCCTAAACGTGAAAGAAAAAATAGATTGACTAGACATGAGAATACTCGTTAATAAATGCTTCACTAAATGTAATACTCACCTGAATTGTAATCCTATATATATAAGCATTACAATGTGAAAAACAACGCACTTAAATGTAGAAAGTGGCAAAAATATGGAGTAAAAAAGTTCTGAGACCTACAACTTTCTATCAACTAGTGATCTCGAGACGGTACACACTGAAAATGATATAATCACAGTCAAATAACAAGTTTCTGTCGTCGTCCGCTAGATAGCTGCAATAGTCTGGTCCCTAGGCGACGTATCCCGTTTTGTCCGACTATCCCGTTTTATTCAACTTTCCCCCACATTATGTATAAAATTACAAGAGTAATTCTGTGTGATAATATTAAATATCTTCAAAAACAACATTTAAAAAAGATCACAAATGGTAAAATTTTCATGAAAAACTATATGTGTTTTCGTTTCACACTGGTACACCTTTATGACAGTAAGTGTTAGAAAAGGAAACATTTAATGATTCTAAATATTTGAAAAATGTTTTTTCAAATATTGTTTGACAGAATTGCATGCATCATATCATTCAAAGTAAATGTATTTCATGCATAGACCTGAATTTTCAGAAAATTTCTACACCATCAAAAATAAAGCCTCGATTGTTAATAATCATACCACTATATCATATTTGTACCTATTTAGTGTGAAGTAACCACTGTCATGTAGATAGTTACTAAGATAGTTGCTAGTAGGTTACAAGTAAAGTAGTAAGGTAGTTACAAGTAGATAGTTACTAAGAAAAAAAACTAATTATATTAAATAAGTAAAATAATTCTACAATTGTTAATACAATTGCAAAAATAATTTTGTTAAAATAATTCTGTATTCTAAAATTGTAATTAAAATAATTATTAACTTAATAAAATGAGCTCAAATAGTAATTTTTAGTTCATTAGACAAATAAATTTGAATGCATGTACTTTTTCAAATAGTGGAATGGGAAGACAAGGCACACTGCTAAATGGTTTGCAAATTTTACAAGAGAAAATAAAAACACAGATTCAATGTTATAATTTTAACTTAATAAAACAATGGATTATCAGTATTCATATTATGAGCTGCAGTATATGTAGCTCATATATGTAGCTGCAGTTGCAGCCTTTCAAGAAAGAAATGAAATTTATTCTTTAAGATTTCTTAAGAGAGAGGTTTCAGAAAAACTTTTATGACGAAGCATCATTTAAAACAAAATCTTTAAATAAAGCCATTACAACACAGGGTTAAGAAAATTCATGATTTTCTTTAAAAATCAGATTTATTTGATTTAAATCAGATTATTTTAAAAATAAACTTAATAGAAAATATTTAAATGCTTACTAGAATCAGAGGTTCTTAATTTCATTTTGGGATCAATTCTCAAAAGCCAGTAAGGCAAGCCACCCTAAAAATAAAAATGAATGTTTCAGATCTTTATAATATTCACAGAAACTGAAAATGAATAAAATAATTTTTCTTATTTATTACTCACCATATCTCTTTCAGCATCAATAAAAGGTCCTGTACGTAAAATAACAAGCATATCCAATGCCTCTGCAATTTTTAAAAATTTTGATAAGTCATAGTTGCCTTTAAAATTATAAACACCTGGTTCCGGTTCATGATGACTCCATTCTACATACCTAATTAAATCACGATTAAAATTAATTTGAACAATAAAAATTTACAAAAAATAATGAATAACTAATTTTAAAAAAAGCTCACTGGTACATCTTCTGAATCCGTTCAAAGTTTTGAAATGATTTACTTAAATTAAAAAAAATTTAAAAAGTTGAGTATTTTATTATGAAATATTATGAATCTTCATAATTTTCTGTTCATACTTTCTTCACAAAACTTTTGTTATTTTTCCTTCCAAATTTATGTTAGCAATATCATTTTTTTTAAGAGAGAAAATTTTGATAGCACAATTGTTTTAATTCAGACCATAGTCTATAATGCTCTCGATCTGATATTGTATGTGAAAAATTGCTTATATTTTGATAGCTACCTTTATTATTTACCATATATAATGTAATTTTTCAGAATAATAACTCATAAAAACCAACAATTACTAACACCTATTTAGAGCATTTACAGTAAAAAAATTTTTTTGAGGAGATATGAAAGGAAATTTGAAGTTGGATCAATAATTAATCCTACTAAGCTGTGAAAGGTTCAGTTAGTATCTCATTTCAAAATGTCAATAAAGTAAATTTATATTTACTTTAAGAGAAAAACTTTTTTTTACTATGGATAAAATTATCATTAATCAATATATCATTATGGATAAAATGTTCATACATGGGTATCATTAAATTTCCATGAATAAAAGGTTCATTCACTACATTATTTTTTATCATTAATATGTTATTCATTTATCAGAATACAATTTATGAATATATTTTTATCACTTAATAATAAAATGTTACTTTTTATTTACAAAACATCACTTTGCATTTACTCAAAATCAAAGTTGCAAAGTTGGATGAATACAACTGTGCAAAGAAAAAAAACATCGCATTTAAATGATTGTTTAGATTATTTGTCATTAGAACGTCTTTTATTGTTATCTAAAAAAACAGTTGACAAATTACTTGATTAAGAAACCTTATTTGAACAAAATATACAGATCTTATCGGTAGTTTGCTTAGTTTTTGAAAGANAAAATATACAGTAACAGCGTAACTGTTAATATTTTCTAAAATCGATTTCACAGCTTTAAAGAGGGATAAATAGTGATTCCGAAACACCTATTAAAAGCCTTTTTTCTTTAATATTTACAAAAGTTTGACCACTTGAAAGTTGGCAAACTGAAAAAATGGGTAGACTCGCCCCAGTTTACGGTAATTGAATAGATTTACTTGTGACTCAAGTGTTGCCAACTTAGAGAAAAACCCTTGATTTTGGCGCAATGTAAGATGAATATAAATTTCTGAAACTTCATTACTCATTTTTTCTAAATAGATCTCTAAGTTTTTTTTACTTATTTTTTCAAATAAAACAATAGTTTTTGAAAATTATTATACTTTCTGTTAGCTTCTTAAATGGTCAGAAATCAGATTTTGAATTGTTAGATATCTAAAGACAGAAATTTAATCCTTTTTGCCATGAAAATAAATTATTTATTCCATTTCCTTAATAATTTCAGATATCTAAAATCTTTGACTGACATTTGATGATAATATTTCATCACTATTATTTTTTCTTCATTCTAAAAATTAAAATGAGAAAGATAACCTCTGTTATGATAACCTCATAACATGCCATGCATAGAATAGTTAACACATTAAATAAATGCCTCCTTTATTAAGTCAACATGATGCATGGCATAATGCATAGAATTTAACAAAGAGCAAGTTTATTCAACCCTTAATTTAAAAGATTAAAATAACAAAGCAAAAAATTGCTAGGTTAAATTCCTCTGCTAGAATTTTTAAATGAGTTTCTGAAATAACTTTTAGCAAAGTATAATAAGTATGCAACAATTTAAATCAAGGGTGTAATAACTTTAGTAAAAATAAATTATGTTATTTTAAATTATCAGTTGACAGTTAGAATGTGAATACAATAACATCATAAACTGTAAAACAATTTAATGAAAAAATTAATTAAAATAAATTATAAAATTATAATAAATTTAAAATTGTTCTCAGTTACGATGAGATTATTTATAAATGAAACTGGTGTATAATAACCTACGTTTGAATTGCATTCAGTCCAGCCATTTTCATTTTATAAATCCTATCATACCAAAAGTCAGATGGAACACGGAAATAGTGAATGGAACCAGAGACATATCTAAATGGTTTCCCATCTTTCAAAAAACAATTGTTTTCATAATCAACAGAAAAGGTTTGTTGAGCACTGACCTGGAAGAAAAATACACAAACAAAATATAAGGTATTTTAAATAAATTTATTATATAAGAGGTATTGCTAATTCAGGAAGAAAAAATATTTAAAAATAATTATTCAATGACTTTTCAAGGTTTTCCAAGAAAATTTGAATAAAATTCCAGATTTCTATAAAATATGAAATTTGCATTTTCATAGAAAATATACCAAATATATGATTTCGTGAGAATTTTATTAGACAAAGGTTTAACATAAAGGTTTTAAAAAACTCAAATATGTATTTTAAGAATTAAAAAAAGATATTTTGCACACAAGTTGGAAAATTTAAAATTTCAATAGAACAAATTTTATTAAGAGTCACATCAGTAATTTATTGAACCATCTTATAAATAAATTGTGATTAAAAATTTACATAAAAAATGTATACAAAATTTATATACAAAGGTTAATTTTTAAAAACTTAGCATAATTAAACTACAAATATGGCTACATATAAAAAAAAATTGAAATATGAATCTTTTATGTAAAGAGTATTTCTCTCATCTGTCCANTGTCTCAAATTTAAAAAAAATATTATTTTTTTAAATAAAACTCAGGTGATCATTATTTACCCCAGAAACAGAGTGATCATGAATTACCCCGGGTCACAATAAAGAGTATTTTTCAATAAAGATAAATTGTAAAGAAGAAAATATCTTTTAATTGAAATTATTAAGGAGTTACAATAATTCTAAAAAAAAGAGAGAAAAAAAATTAACAATCAGCAGAATTTTTACAAGGAATAATAAAAATAGATGTTAGACTTAAGCACTTTGAACAGCATTAGCTGCGTAAATTTACAGTCAATAATGAAATTGGTCGTATTCCAGATTTGTTGCAAGATTTTTCTCATTTTGGTATAAAATTAAATTATTCCGACTTTTTATACCAAATTCTCTGACGATTCCAGGTTTTCTTGGCGCCGTGGAAAGTCTGTAATTATTTGCCTGGTATGCACGGAAATATATTTTAAAAAATATCATAGTTTAATTTTAACAATAAAATATACTATATGCAATAAATTCACATAAGGTTATAGAATATGTATAAAAAGGTTCAATGCACTTAAATAAAAGATATATATTTTTGATTATGTTTGAATTAAAAAAAAGTAAACACACATAAATTGAATAATAGTTGATTATCAAATTAAGAAACAAAATTGTGAGTGAAATATTAATTCTTAAGACATCATAATACTAGCACACAGAATAAAGAGAATATTGCTAGAACAAAACTTAAAATGAATTAGTTTGTCTTATATATTTATTGAATTTTTTTGTATGTTTTTTTTCTCCCAAATATAGACTTTTCCTATAACCATCTTGGATTTCAGGGTAAATTTTTGATTTGCATTTTTTTTAATTCGTTTTATTTTTCTTTTTGTAATTAATAAGTTCTTTACAACAGAGTGTCTTTACAAAACTATGCTTTTTAAAATAAACAGAAAATAAAAGGGCAGTTTTTTAAATAAGATTAGGAGATATTGTGCTATATAATTTTTAGAACATCCATGAAGTTTATTTTTCAAAAATGTAAAGTAATAAATTATGCAATTTTTGGTTTTCAGAAAATAATTTACAACTACACATTTCTCTTCCTTTAGATTTTAAAATTTCGTTTCACTACAGTCTTAATTTATAGAAACCATCTTGAATAATGCTAAAAATTATTAACAAAAATTATAAATAAACAAATATATTTATTAAAATTTAAAAACAGGAAAATTTATAGGTAATACTACACTACCTTCTGCAAATACTGACTTTAAAATCATGATAGCATTATTTTATCAGAAAAAAATTTATGAGAAGACTTAAAATGCCACTGTCAAATTATGATAAATAAAAGAGATTAAAATAATATTTAGAATTTTTTTCAGTCTCCATTCCTTCCGCAGTCGAGTTTAGTTAGAAGGAAAATTGTTTTTTTATCATCCCCACAATACAACCATTTTTTTCTTCCAATTTTCTGGAACTATTAGTGCATATCAGACATGAAAGATAGTTCAGCTAATGCTTGAGGCTATAGAGCCAAGTCAGACTTCTACCTTTTGGTGCTCCAATAATTTCTTTTTGACAACGGAATCTGACTCCTTTTCTTCATCTATGATTTTGTCACTGATATTCTAGTATTAGACTTTCTTAGAGTGACTAATTTCCTAGACCTGATTTATCATTAATAAACAACAGCAACAAACACGAAAGAAGATGAAACATGAATATTTCTCAACATAAAACAAGCGAAATAATAAATAAATGCTAAACAATTTCATAAATTCGATGCTCGTATCGCAGAGACGTGCAAAAAAATTTGCCTAAGCCACAAGAAAAGTGTAACATTACAACTACTTAACGTTTTTAATTGAAAAATTCCTTATATATATTAGGCATAATACCTGCCAAGATACATACCATGGAAACGTAAAGTGTTACAAGAGTAAAACAGAGTAAGAGTCTATTCATTTTTATTTTCATAGAATAAAGATATCCGAGAAAATAATTTTAGTCAAAATCTATTCCCTCTCAAAGACACTTATTTGAATACATATAAAGAGTTAAAATCTAAGTTATCAAAAATAACATTAGATATAGATAACAAATGTATAAAATTAAAAGATAACTAATTTAATCCACTATCCTGTCAAACCAACGAGGAAGTGTCAAACCAAACCATGGTAACATGCTTGTTTGTTTATTATGACGTTTCCGGTGGTCTATTTCTTTGCCACTAAAGCTTATTTTGGAAATTAGAATGATATTTAGAAGCACAGAAATAGGTAGTTGAAATCTACAATAGGCGATCGCAACGCTCGAATACGCCACCTGGGGATCAGACCAGTTCCATGCGTCTTCCCTCTCCTCCTCTTTTCAGTTGCATAGACATATATTTACTACGATATTTTCCTTTTCTTAATATTTTTTATATTAAATTGTCAAAAATATTTTTTTAAATTTCCATGACGCTTTCTTTTAGAACTACGTTTAATGTAGTTTTCAATTTCATGTAGTTTCCCACCTTCAAAGATTTTAATCTAATCTATTAATATCTAAGATTGCGTGCTCCACACGCAAATGGTGAAAGCATGCGAAGTGTTGCCCTAGGTAGAGAGTTCTGCATGGACTGCGATAAAGCATTTATAATCTAAAATTTTCAATTCAAGATTTATCATCATTTATTTTTTAATTAAACCAACTGATGAGTCATGAGCATTTCTGCACCTCTAACTTTTACAAGTTTTTGGAAGAAAGATGCTGGCATTAATAGCATTCAACTCACAATGCACAACTTCTTACATCTACTGGTCTTTCTACATTCAATTTTTTTATTGGTAATTTATGTAGTAATACCATAACTTATAATTTTACTTTTGTACCAAGATAGTTTACAAAATTGGGTTTCGATTTAAAATAAGGAAAATAAGCCAATTAATGATATATAATGTATAGTATATAATGAATGCAATTATAAATTGATTGAGTAATAATTATTAAATAATATAATAGTTTAGTAATATTAACAAATAGTTTAAATTTGAAATTTTTCGCAAATTGTCCTTAAAAGATCAAATTTAAGTGATCTTTTCAAAACGTACTGAGGCACAATATTTATTTTTTTGAATGTGTGATATTCGTTTTCATTTTCATTTTGCTGATTAAATAGTTTAGAATAGCATTTCACGAAAAGTAGAATAAAACGAGCTATTGTTTAAGGAATAATGAACCACCAAGGCACCAAGTAAATTTTAAACTTTCAATTTTTTGTAAAAAAAAAATTTATGCGAAGATTTGTCAGGTGGTTGGTGCAAGTTTTAATTTTTATGTTTGTCCCTTCGATGATGTTATTTTTGTTTCTTTTTTGCTGCTGCCCCAGAAGTTGCCAAGACCTGTTGTTTTTATATTCTGCCGCAGATCGCTATAAGAAATCTTCGCAATATCATATGTATGTTACTTAGCTGTCAAAACATTTTAACATGAGCAAGTAACATTATTAAAACAGCAAGTAACATTAGAAAATTGGAAATACAATTCTAGCAGAAAAACGAAGAATATTTTAAGATATGTGGGTTAGCAAGACAGCACTTCATCAGTGGAAACACTGCCTGCCAACACGCAGGAGCCTTTCTTTCGTTGGTGGTATTATACCTAACACTGACTGTGCCCCGATTCCCATTAAAATATAGATAAACAAATAAGAAAAAGCATTTAGAAAAGCAAATGCAATAAAAAATTAATATAATGAAGAATTGTATTTCTGACATTCTAAATTAAAATAAGACATGGTATAGGTTTTAGCTGCTTGTAGCACTTTTCCATTTTAATTTATTATTTTAAATGTTATTTACTTATTTTCCATTTTTCTGAATTTGTTTAAATCTGTTTAATTCTTTGATTAGATTATTAAAACTCTCTAACTCTTCTAAAGTTACAAGAGCTGTTTTTAAGGGTTCTGGGTCTGTCTTCATTTGGATGCCCTTTATGAGTAGTTCTAAAGAAAAAAAATTTACTTTTGAATAATTTTTATTTTAAGATAGTAAAACAATTATACTTTACTATAAAAGCTTTAATTCATTAACTGTGTAGAAAGTTTTAGGTAGCAATACTTTTTATGCATTTTGAGAGACGAAGCCTTCTATCATCATTAAAATCAAATTGCTGCAATACATCATATTCAGTGCTCATCATTGACAAATAACTCTTTCTTTCTTAAATCATGCAATTTTTTAGTTAATTTATTCTTAATTTTAGTCTGGAGAATAAATGCCCGCCACTACATTTAGTTATAATGAGTGAGAATTGTCAAATGAAACTCGTAAAAAAAATTGAGATGGTTGTTTTTTACTATTTTACGCATATATTCCAAATTGATCTTATTATAGGCCAAATCATGATTGAAATGTTCTAATTATAGCGCTATTTCTTTTTCATTGCTACTGATTTTAGGTGTACCCATTGATGCAGATAAAAAGTACGAGAGTGAATCAACGTCTGAGGAGTTCACAACCTTTAAAATTGCGATCAGAGCTTCTTGGCAATGAAATTTCTGAAATGATATTTTTTGCGTGAAAAAAAGGATAAAAATTACAAAATATACTGTCTCAGCTTTTTGTCCTGATGTTTTTCTTTTGTGTATTCAAAGCATCCCAATTTTGACAAATACAACTGCGTGTTTTTAAATAATAGATTTTAAGAAGGGAAAGATTTGGATTTTTGATATGTCATTTTTTTAATTTTATTTTAATTAATAATACTAGTAAAAATCACATAATTCAATTGTTCAAAATTTTTCAAGTTGCTAACCTGGTTTCAGACTTTCAACCGTCTTTTAAAAGAGTTACTCAACAATTTTGCTGTTGAAATTTTTTTCTTCATATATCTGATTGCCAATCAGAAAGTGGTTTTAAAGATAAACATATTAATGATTTTAAGATGTGAATTTTTTAATCTTGTCTGTCCTATTGAAGGGAAAAACATAGTTTTCTTTCTCTCTTTTCATTTTTTGACTGTGGTATTTATTGTGATACTATTTTCTCACAGCACACTTCATCAGAAGGCAATGAAAGTAGTTCCAGTGAAAATGATGTAGAAAAGTTTGTTGGTTCTTAAAAATCTTGTTTTCTTTTAATTATTGTTTATAATATATGTTTATAAATAAAATTTTCAATATTTGTTTATATGTTGACCTTTTAGTTAGAAAGAGTTTTTGTGACTTAACTCTTACTTAAAAAATATATTTCCTCAAGCAATAATAATAAATATTATTATTATTCATATAATAATAAATATTAGTTATTAATATATACATACGTATTAGTTTTAAGCTATATAGGTATATTGCTTAAAAGGCTAACTATGTTCTTGGTTCTTTCCATGCTTGCATTACTATGGGGCAATAATTCAATGTTTAATAATTATAATACTGATTGCAGAATTTATAGCATAAGACTACAGCATTATCAGCATGAAGCTTTTTTCATAGAAAGTAAGAGTACATTATTTGAAAGCTATATGAATTACTTATAAAGGTATGCTTATACCCTTGAAGTTAAATTTTATGACTATTCTGAAAATAAAAAGTTACTAACAGGAAGGGAGTTAGATAAATGTGATAGTTGGACGAAAACTCAACTAGTTTCACAGAGATGACAGTGCTCCACAAAAAAAATCCAGATTTTTTGCTAATTGCGATTTGGAAGTTTCAAGAAATCATCGATTACATTTATGTATAAAAATTCTTGTATATTTTATTTAGAAATATTAGAACTAGAATTATACTTGGCATATTTTTCATTTGTAAATATTTTTTCTGGTAGAATAATAAATGTGATTACAGATAAAAATAAACTTATACATAATTTTTCATTTAAATTATGCTGCATATAATTTATTTAGAATTTCATATTTTGAAAATATCGATGACTTAAATTTATAAAAACATAAATTTTTTGAAATGCGTCATTAATGATTTTACTGAAGAAATTTTCAGGATTTTCGAGTTGGGCTAACAATCACTCCTGGCATAGTAACTTGACTGTTAACTAATCATGTCTTTAAAAAAAGAGAAAATTTTCTTATATCGTTTTCGGAATATTAAAAGGCTTTGTGGGCAATTTGATGCCCATAGGTTTTGAGTTATGCATATATTTTATATTTCTTCATTGTGATGGTCTTTTTGTTTGTGTTTCTATCTGCTTTTTTAAATTATAAAAGACTTACGAGTGAATAAAAATTAAAACATTTATTTAATAACAATAGAAATTACAAGTTTTTATAAAAATAATGAAACAAGTGTTAATGTAATTAAACCCAATATATAGCTTTTTTACATGGTTTGTCGAAGGAACTTCTTTCCATAAAATCTTTTTTCTTGATTTAACGGAGTAGTTCCATTTATAATAGGATTATCAACAAATTGTACTACACAAGTATTTGCATTTTGACAAGGTGCATGCTCCAGTTCTAATATTGTCAGATTATTCACTGCAGGCTCTGTTTGAAACAATGTGCTCGGGGCATACAGTGTTACTTGAGGCCCAACAATTGGCCAATAGCGTCCAAGATTAAAGCCATTTATAAAAGCTACACCCTGAAACAAAGATAAATGAATACTTAATTAATAACTACATACAGTGTTTTAATTTCTCTATTTTCTTTTGTGACCGGTGATAACAAATAGTCTAGACCTAGCCAAAAGTTACTTATATGTATTACCAAAATTTATTGGGGTCAAATATTGAGAGAAACAAATACACAATTGTTTTAATAATGTATAACTAATAAATTAAAACTTTCATTTACGCTATGTTTGCAGCTATTTTTGTGCTTGTTAATAGTTCCTCACAACTTTATTCTCATAGATAAACATTACCTGGAACTCTCAATCCACCTATTTTTTTTTTTTATCATTTTTATTCTTAAAGCAACCTATTTGGATTTCAACCATAAATCTAATAACAAATTAAGAATGGAAAAAATTGTTTTACAAGATAATTTATAAATAATGGTTTTACAATATAAATGTTTCATAAATAATCTCAAGTCAACTGCAATGTACGGAAAAATTTCCATAACTCAAAGTGGTATTAAAACTTGGAGAAAAAAAACATTGAGATATTTAAAATTTGACTTTAAAAAATTAAGATTAAAATATAATTGTCAAACAAAATTACATGAATTAATGAAACATTATT